ATTAGCCAAATCGCATCAAAATTTGAACATATCTAGAAAACGGTATTTTCAATAACTTTATTTAGTGGATGAAGTTAAGTTTGCTTAGTAAAAAAATCCTGTTTTCTTGAGTTATTTTCGGTGCGCCAAATTACCCCCCTGCGCCATTATACCTCCCGTTACTTTATATAATTAAAACAAAAAAAAAAAAGAGAGAGAAAACAACAAAAAAAAAAAAATGAAAGCAACAAAAAAAAAAAAAAAAATGAAAGAAGGAAGCAACGATGATTATGGCATGCCCCCCTATACGCACATGTTCAGCCAACAAACAATTCAGGCTGTAGCTGCAGAATTCGAACAAAACTTGCATACAATCATACGGAAACAGCATAAGGACAATTGCGGTACAACAATGACGTGCAATTATGATGTCACAAACAATTGCAGCAATGGAAGCAGGGCCCGTGCATTGATGGCTCCCACAGACGGGAGTACATCAAAAGAACAAGGGTGTGTGCCGCCACCTAGTGCCAAAGTGATGCATGTAATAAATAATAAAAACAAAAAAAATAAAATAAAAGAGAAAAGAAAAAGTGTATACACGTATATACTACAATTCAAAAAAAAATAAATAAATAAATAACAAAATAATAATAAGGGAAACATAACGAAAGCAGACAATAATATGATATAGACAAAAAAAAAAAAAAAAAAAGAGCTCCATGACTGGATTGGAGGGAACAGGGTCAATTGTAACTTGCTACGGCGTATGACCATATACTTACTGACGATACATTATTAATCTCCGTCCCAATATATAGGTGGAGCGACTCGGTTCAGACACCAAGCCCAGTACAAGGCAGCATGAGGCATCACAATGTTCGAGGCCCCCAGTCTTCAGTCAGTAGAGAGTACGATTACAGCTGTCCCTCCACGGCAGGCAGTGTTGTCAATGGACATGGACATGTCCATGGACTGTCCATGGACATGGACATATAAAAATATGGATGTTCATATCCATGAACATATAAAAATATGTCCATGTCCATGGACATGGACATTGAACATTGTGTCTATGGACTGTCCATGTCCAATAATTTGCTTGGACATATGTCCATGTACAACACTGACGGCAGGTGCCTCTATCACTCATAGAAAAGAAAATTTTCGAGCAACTTGATCCCGGTGTCTTCAATATCTCCACACCTATTAACAGCAAAGCATTTGAACATCTCACAGATAGCCACCCTAATCACCCATTCATTACCTACCTGAGGGAAGGGCTCAGTTTGGGGTTTAGATTCAATTTCTTGGGCCACAGGACCAGGGTTATCCAAAAAAATTTGAAGACGATAGAGCTTGACCCGTTTTCTTTTGAACAGTACATTCAGGATGAACTAGCCCAAGAACGGATGTGTGGTTCCTTTTCAATACACCAACCACCATGCTCGATGTTTCAGATCAACCCTTGCGAGCTGGTAGAGAAAAAGGATACAAACCCGAAGGCATACCGTATAATATCACATCTGTCTGCACCTTTTGGTGCCAGTATAAACGATAGTATCGATAAGATCGAATTTAGTACACAATATGAGACGATAAGCCACATGATTAAATGGATCACATATTATGGGAAAGGGTGCATCCTATCGAAAATCGACATTAAGGACGCTTATAGGATCCTGCCCGTACACCCTGTGGATCAGGAATTGCAAGGCATTATGTTGGACGGTTAGCTATATTTCGACAAGGTCCTTGCCTTTGGGAATCGGGCTTCGGGGGCATATTCTGCAGATTTGCAGATGCCCTTGTGTGGATTGTGGTGCAACAAGGAATTAAGTCGATAATTCACTACGTCGACGACTTCCTTATCATATCAGGATCAAATGCACAAAAGGAACTTGACCAGTTTCTGCGCATACTTGGCATTTTAAACGTACCATACAAACCGTCTAAGCTCGAAGGGCCAAGCACTTCAATTACATTTCTGAGCATCTATGTGGACACAATGACATTTACTGCAACGATCCCTACCAATAAAAAACTTAAATTAATGAACCTGCTGGAGCAATGGGCGAAGAAATATTGGTATCTCAAGAAAGAACTGCAATCTCTGGTCGGGTCTCTTATGTGGGTATGCCAGGTTCTCCCACAAGAACATCTGTTCATACAACGTTTAATTAGAGTATTGAGCAAAGCAAGAGGGTCCAAGTACCACATAAACATCAATAGCTCCATGAGGTCCGACATCAAATGGTAGGTCGACACATTGCCGGCGTGGTCAGGAGTGCACCTCATGAAGAACCAGGAATGGCTCGACCCAGCCACACAGAACCTTTTCACTGACGCAGCATCCAATTTGGGTGGCGGTGCCACCTTTCAATCATACTTTACCACGCTCAATTGGTCGAAGAAAATGGACCTGTTTCAACATAATATACAGGAGCGAGAGCTCCTGACTGTACTTATCACTATATTAACCTTTTCACCCATATGGACCCGAAAGCGAATTGTCATATAGACAGATAATCAGACAAATGCGGAGGCTGTATATTCAGGCTTTTGCAAGCACCCAGCAGTCAATGAAATAGTTAAGCAAATATATCAAGCACAAATACTCAGGAAATTTTTGTTGAAATTAGAGTTTATACCGGGAAGATGAACTCAGAAGCAGATCTGCTATCACATAATAGCCACAGACAATTTCTCACCCAAAATCCAACTGCTCGCTACCTACAACCCATCATCCCACAACAGTATTCTAACCTCGTTTCTATAATCCCTTCATTAATTTAGTAGATTGGTACCACACTTTTATGGACGGAAACGAGCCTTCGGGTGGTTCAATACCTACACAGTTAACCCCCAAAATCCCACTCAACCAGCAAGCGGCCGCAATTTTAGGAATAAGAACAAAGGTTAACAAGACATATGAATCAGCAATAAAGCAATATGAAACACTAGCATTCGAAAATAGGTGGATCAGCCCACAAGGCGATACCTGGCCCATTTTCAGGGATCATCTCATTAAATTCATAACACACATGCACGACAAGATCGCACCCCTGACTCTGTTTTTATACTTATCGGCATTGAAGTATCATTACAAGATGAACCACCTTGAATGGAATGAAGTTCGTGATGACCCCCTAGTAAAAGAGTTACTAAAGGCCATCGAAAGAGACTATATACATGCACCTGTTAGCCAGAAATCACATATCACACGGGTCCACCTTCAAATGATGAAAGCAAACTTAGACATAAGCGATACAGATGATGCAACATTTTGGGCAATAGCCCTATCCGCATTTTATGGGTTAGCACGTCTGGGGGAGCTCCTTCCTACAACACAGCTGGATCGAGATAAAGTACCAACAATTAGGTCGCTAAGGTTCGAAAAAGTCGACCATCACATGTTTGCAACTATTCAATTGGCACGCACCAAGAACTACAAAACTGCAGAACGAATGTCCCTCATTATCAATCCAATGTATGACGATCTATGTCCAGTCGAAGCCTTGAAGGCATACGTCGTCCAAAGATCAGCCCGGGCACATGGCCAATCCGATTTGTTATTCACTAGGGCAAACGGGTCATGGGTCACAAAACGATATTTCATCCACAAGCTCAAGCAACTACTACCTGCAGAGGATGTCGCCGGTCACAGTTTCAGGGCCAGGGGCACCACTGAACTGGTTATGCGAGGTGTTCAGCTAATATTAGTCCAGAAAATCAGCAGGTGGAACTCAGACTCTTTCTACAGATACATCCAGGCCCACCCAGCCACAATAGCGGCAATATTGATAAAAGCCTATGATAATTGAGCTGTTTCTCGCACTGTCATACTAATAGAACCTCAAACACCGCAATTATATACTTAGATTATTCAATTCATTATATATTTAGATAATAGTAACAGTAATAATAATGTGTTTCGATAGCTAACTAATTTCAATCATGCTTTTGAGTATACAATTAGGTTATTCAAAAAAAAAAAAAAAAAACAAAAAACAAACCCCCAGCCAGTCGTTTACAACCTGTCACATATGTCTACCATCGACGAATAAGAGCAATGACACTGAACATAGGACAACGGCAGAATTTTGACACCCGAATCAATGGAACAGTCTCCTGATTCTGCCATTTTCCTATTTAACAGCCGGCCTGCTTCAAGCAGGCGGGAAACCACTAGCTGATGCTGCCTCTCGCTCGTTCTACTGTTACGATGATACCTGGCGCAATCTCACTTGCTAATTTTCTAGAAGCATATTATCGTTTCAGTTCGAATTACTTAGCCAAATTACTCATATTGTATTCTGCGGACTTCAAGTCCTTTATTTGAATTTAATTGAATTTATTTCTGGCACCTTTTACTAGCCGGCATTTTTACAATCATTTGACCAGTCGTGCCTATGCTTTTCGATAAAAGATAATGCTTGGCAAAATCAAACTTTTGTTTGACACTCTAACACATGTGATGATTTTACTTTTAAATCAATACATAATGCGATAATCAAGTAATAACTGTATTGATGTATTGATTTAAAAATCAGCCCATTACATGTATTTGAGTGTCAAACAAAAGTTTGATTTTTCCGAGCATTAATAAATATAAATCGCAATTTTATTTTTATTTTTTTAATATAATTTAGAAAAAAATCTTAAGTATTAGTTTTAAATAAAAAATAAAACGCTGCAGGTTTGCGCAATGAAATTTACCCCACCAAATAAATTATATCCACCGAGTATTTCATAGCTTGAATTGTTTTTTAAATTATTGCATAAAACTTTTGAAAATCACCAATGCTAATAGAAAGTATTTGAAATACGCCACTCCATGTATTTCCTAATGTAGTAGCATTTCGAATTCCTCCAAATTCTTTACCATTTTTTGATCAAAGTTTTTTTCAACCACATTTAGTCACTTGGTTTGTTGGAGAATATTTGATGATTTTTTAATAAATTCTGCCGCCGAAAAAAGCTAATCTTGTTAGATTTAAAATATAATAAATAAATAAATAAAACAAATAACACATTTTTAAGAATTATTTTTAATTCAATTGCTTTGTTAATCATAGATTCCTCACTAGTTTTTGAATAATATTCGTCCAAATTTGAATCGTGTTTATCAAATCCATCGATCTCCCTGCTCAATAAGGTTGACAACTTTATTTACAATTGCAATGGTTTGTTTATACTGATCTTGTTCTATCTCCAAGGAAATTTCATTAATCTGTATACTTAAATTGTTATTTACATTTTCCAAATTTTCATAAATTTGTATCTGTAGTATTTTCCATATCAATCATATTGTCTTCAATACCAAGTTATCAGCATTACTTTCTTCATGCTTTCATTTTTACTATCTATTAAACATTCGAAACAAGTCTTATTTTCTTGAAAAGCTTTTAAAGATTTATGCTTCCGGCACGATTTGCAAAAAGGTTTCATAAAATATGTAAAAAATTTTATCGTTCAAGAAAAAGTAGTATATTAATTTTTAATAATTACAAAAACTTTTATAATTACAAAATTACAGAATTATCTGTTCATGCAAAAATGAATTATCGGAAAATTTAATTTAAGTGTCACTACGTAACTGATTTTTGGGCGATGCTAGGTTCGTCAAATAGATGTATTTTTCTGATGATATATTATCGTTATATAAAAAAAAATAGATTTATAAATTGCTTATTTTAAAATAAAAATACGTCATTAATTTAGAAACCTGAATATTAATTTTGAATCACTCTATTATGCTACATTTACACATAAATTTAATTCTAGTAAGTACAGTATATCAGATAATGTATCATGCTGAGTGATGTCAAGAGAAAATGTGACTTCAATTCTAGATGATTGAAATCCCTTTTTCCATTGGCGGGATATAGAGATTATGTATGGTAAT